GCTGGAATTTAGTTATAAAATTCGCTACAACCTGACCCTTTATTGCCATCCTAGGTTCAAATTGAACATCAAACTCACCGAGCTCCACCACCCATTTAGCAACGAGTCCGGATAGGTCAGCTTTTTGAAAAAGTGATTTTAGTGGCTGGTCGAAAAGCACTGTTATTGAATGGGCTTGGAAGTACTGTCTGAGTTTCCTAGCCGAACTGATGAGTGCTAGTGCGAGTTTCTCCAGCGGGGTATATCTTGATTCTGCATCTAAGAGCATCTTGTTCACATAGTAAATGAATTTCAATTTTGCCTCGTCATTCCTCATCAATACTCCACTCATAGTGTGGTCCGATACCGCCAGGTAGAGGTAAAGTTTTTCCTCGGGAGTAGGGGTTGATAGAATTGGTGGGGTAGCCAAGTATACCTTCAGTTTTGTAAGTGCTTCCTCACATTCCTAGCTCCAAAGTGCCCCTTTCTTTCCTTTGATTGATTGAAAGAAGGGTCTACATTTGTCAGATGCTCTGGCTATGAATCTCCCGAGAGCTGCTGCCATACCTGTCAGTCGCTGTACCTCCTTCAATGTCCGAGGTGACTGTAGTTTGGCTAGAGTCTTTACCTAGTCGGGATTCACCTCTATTCCACGGTGAGTAACCAGAAATCCTAAGAATTTTCCCGAGTTGACCCTGAAAGTACACTTAGAAACGTTTAACTTCATATTATATTTTTGTAAAACGTTGAATGTCTCCCTTAGGTCAGCACAATGATTCACGGCCTTTCGACTTTTAACTACCATATCGTCAATGTAAACTTCTACAATTCTACCAATCATATGCGAAAACATTTTAGTTACTAACCTTTGATAAGTGGCCCCAACATTCTTCAATCCAAAGGGCATTACCCTGTAGCAGTACGTTTCTTCTGATGTTATGAAAACAGTTTTTTTTTGATCTTCCTCGGCAAGGGGGATCTGATGGTACCCCCTGTAAGCGTTTAGGAAACTCATTTGCTCGTGCCTGGCTGTTGCATCCACCAACTGATCTATCTTTGGCAGGGGGAAACTGTCTTTTGAACATGCTTTATTCAGATCGGTGAAGTCAACACAAACTCTCCATTTTTCATTTTTCTTCTTTACCACAACAGTGTTTGATAGTCAGGTCGGGTATTTTACCTCCTTGATGGTTTTAGATTCCAGCAAACGCACCACTTCCTCTTTTACTGCCTCCAGATGCTAGATTGCCAATCTTATAAGTTTTTGCTTAATTGGTTTAAAGCTTGGATCAATGTTCAAATGATGACAAGCAACCTTGGGTGATACGCCGAGCATGTCAATAGTACTCCATGCAAACACATCAGCATACTCTTGTAGTAAGGTGATCAGTTCGGCCTTCCGTTCGACACTAAGAGCTGATCCTATCAAAAAATATTTTTCTGGATCTTCATCCTTGTCTAGAGGTACTCTAGTCAGGTCCTCTATTGTCCGGTCTACTGCCTCTTTTTCTTTGCCTAAAGGCACTTTAGGACTTCCTTTGACAGCTAGGTCCTCAGTTTTGACTGAGCTGTCAAATGTTGATTGCTATTTATCGTGCCCCTCCAGCGTACTATTTTCTCGGTACTCTGCCTTATCCTTGGATTTGACAGAAGCCAACAAGCAAGTTCTGGAGCAGACCTGGTCTCCTCGGTTATTGACTATTCCATTAGACGATGGGAATTTGAGCATTTGATGGTAAGTTGAAGGTATTGTCTTCATCTCGTGCAACCAGGTACGTCCAATTATCGCGTTGTAAGCCGAGACTGTATCCACTACAAGGAATTCAATCATGACGCACACTGGCCCCATTTTTACAGGCAAGGTGATCTTTCCTTTTTGAAGAACTGTCTTACCACTAAAGCCAACAAGTGGTGTATTAGAAGGCTTGAGGTCTTCCTTCTTAAGTCCAAGCTTTTCGAACAAATCCATATATATAATTTCTGAGGAACTCCCTGGATTGATCAGGACCCTCCTTACATCAAAATTTGCAATCCGAAGTGTGATGACAAGGGCGTCATTGTACGACTAGTGAACACCAACCAAATCCTGCTCGGTGAAACAAATCACTTCGGCTCTATCCTCAATCTTTATTCTTTTGCTGGTGACTTCCGGGGTCATTCTTAGCTCGTATACCTCTCTTTCTTTGGCTGCTTTCTGAATGTAAGCTCGAGTAGAGTTGCTTGTGGACATCTAGGGGTTGGTGGCAGCATGGATCACGTCAATTACTCCAACTACTGTATTTTGGTCCCCTTTCTGCTCGGCACTTCCCTCTTTAATTTTTTGCCTGCTTTTGACGAATTCTGCCAGATGTCCAACCTGGACAAGTTCCTCCAAATGTTGCTTGAGAGATTGATAATTCTCAGTCATGTGGCCAAAGTCCCTGTGATAGGAGCACCTAAAGTTAGGATTCATTTTTGAGGGATCGCCCATTAGTTTGTTTGGCCACTTGAAGAACGACTTTCCCTTGATCTAATTCAACACCTTGTAAATTGGCTCTTTAAATAGCATATTTACCCCAAGAAAATGGGACTTTTAAGGGTATCCTTCCTTTTCATACTTCCTTCCAGTTTCTCCGTTCAGCTCAGTTTGCTTGTCCTTGCCGAACTGTCTTTTGCTCGGATGTTCCTTTACCACCTCTCTGGTTAAGTCATCGTCCACCTTGGCGTATTTTTTAATTCTAGCCATTAATTCTTCCAGATCGATAATAGGTCTTCTTGTGAGGGATTGGTATAGAGGGTTTTCTTTCGGTAACCCAATCTTGAAAGACGCCACAGCTATCTCTGGATTGCAACCTTCAACTTCATTCATAGTCTCCCAATAGCGATGGGCATACTCGCACAAGCTTTCGTTATTTTTCTTCTTTAATGTAAGTAGAGCCCCGACGTCTTTCGGTTGTTTACTGCTGGTGATGAACCGAGCCGTGAACAGCTCAGCCAATTGAGACCATCCCTCAATTTTTCCCTTTGGTAAACTATCAAACTATTTCATGGCTGACTCTCTAAGACTGTTGGGAAAAATAGTGCAAAGCAATGGCTCGTTTCTTCGGTGAATAGTTATAAGTTGTTGATAGTGTCTGATATGTAAGGCTGAGTCGATTTTTCTGTCGTACAACTTAAAGTTCAAAATGATGAACTTGCTCGGGATTCTTGCCTTTTCGCCCCACGAAGTGAACGAGGATGACTCCAATCCGCCCTCATACTCCCCTGTTGCTCATCTAGCCAGGTCCCTTGCCGACCTCTGCTTAGGTCTCTTCAAACGATTGTTGAGCTCTTCGTTGATATATTGCTTCCAAGTGTCCTTCTCCTGGACCCAAGACTTCTTCTGCGGGTACACTTCATCGGCAATCTTAGTTTTGCTAGACTTCCTTCTTGGGCTCGGATGCCGCTCCTCTCTCGCTTGCTTCTCCCTTCTGGTTATCTCTTTCAACTTAGTTCTTAACTCCTCGTTTTCTTTAATTAGATCCTTCTCCCTGGCGTAGGATTCCTTGAACAACTTATCATGGGCATTAAGTCGACCCTGTAGAGACTGGACCAACTTTGCCAAGGAACGGTTCTCTCCTAGGTACGGAGGGATTTACCATGATCCTCGATTTGGTTCTCTGACGGCTTAAAACTTGCAGAAGATATTTCATCATCCTTATAGATTCTGGCGGGGCTTCCGACAACATGTAACCTTGCATTGCTATTAGAAGGAAAAGGTGCAGGATCAAAATTTTTCAAGGCAAAGCTGCCTATGGGTGATCCAATTGCGCTCCTTAGTCGTGACATTGCAACTTTTTGTTCTGAAAGTTGAGAAACTAGGTTTCCCACAGACGGTGCCAAAATGTAGAAGCAAAAAATTGATAATACCTTTAACACTCAATTCATGATGTAACTTTTTGGAAAAGAATTATAAACTATCTCCAAATCTTCTTCCTGCAAAATGAACAAACTACCTAAGATCGAAGTGCTTCGATCGAAGGCACTCTGATGCTTAAGTCAGTAATGGAACGAGAAGAATTGCAAGAAGACAAGGAGAGTTTAGCGTACCTTTCACCTTAGCTTCCTCTGCCTTTTATAGATCTTTATTCCATTAGGGTTTTCATGACTTTCGGTTCAAGGTGGCACACCTTCCTTTCATTCAGTATTTGAGTTTTGGAAGGTTTCTAATTTTTTTCCAACAATTTCTCATCGTATCTTCAATCTCGTTGATTTCGTTTATCTGATTGCCTAAGTTTTAGACAAGTCTTTAACTTTTCTTCTACCACTGCGAACTGCTCGGGCATTCCGAATGCCGAGCTTGATTAACGTTTGCCGAACTGTTTGGAAACTCAGTTTGGTACAAACCGTGCATTCTAGAGAATTTGGCTTGGTACAAGTCGAGCATTTTTTTGGCTTTGCTGAACGGATTCATGAGCTAGCTAGGCATGAGAGCCGAACTCTTTAATCTTCTTGTCGAACCCTTTATTCTGTTCAGCTCGGATTAAATAACTAGGTGGATGACTTCCTCCTCACGTGATCAATCTTGTTAATCTCTCGTGAGCTCATTTAATGCTCTAACATGTGTAATCACGAGGATTAGCCCCTTGACAACCTAAATATATAAATTGGACTCAACCCGACAAATTAAAATATATATATATATATATATATATGGATAAATTACATCCATCTCACCAGAGGTTTGATCAAATAATAACTAAACCCCCTCTTATTTGACAAATATCCCTGCACTCCTTTTAGATTTGATTGTCTGTAACAAATTCCCCAACCATTAGTGTGCCGTCAGGAAAACATCAAAAAATTGCTGATGTAGACAATCTATTTTTTTGAAAATGTCAATATTACGCTTATCCAAGTTATAGCCAAACTAAACTGGTTACAAATAATCCCGTTTGATTATATGCTCTATAACAGTGATGATGTGATTGTATTGTGCTCAAGTTTTCATGAGCTAAATCCAATCATTCACCGGTGTTGATGTCAAGGTGTTTCAGGTTGTGATGGTTTTGAGAGGCTATGGTAGTCATCGTGGTGGTTGGTTGACGTGGATGGTGATTGTGGGTATGTGATCAGGGGGTGGGGGGTTATGGCGATGGAGGGCTGAGTTTTTTGTTGGTGAGCAAACCGTGGGTGGTAGTTCTATTGGATGTGATTCTAGATCTTGGTGGTTTTTGGAGCTTGTAGGTGGGTTTAATTGGGTTTTGATTGATGGTATTTTGGGATTGAGGTCGGTAGGGCAGTGCTGGTGGTAGTGTTATGGACGTGGACCGTGGTTGTGTAGTGGCTTGGGTGTTACGGTTTTGGGTGGTAGCTTGGGTACTGCATTGTGGGCTTGTGTTTGTGTTGATAGGATGGGGCTTGTGTGTTTGCGTTGTTGGGGTGGTCCTTCTTGTAGTGGTGATGGTGCAGATGACTCATCGGAGAAGATTGGGTAAGTGCTTTTTGCGATTTTTGGTGATGGTGCAGATAACTGGTTGGAGAAGATGACCAAAATATTCTCCAAAAATGCTGACAAAAATATTCTCCAAAATGTTGAGGGTGTTATGGTCATTTCATAGTTCTCATAGAGGGTATTATAGTCATTTTATATTTTTTGTTACGCTAAATGGAAGGATGTCACTAACAGGGTAGGCCAGTGTCATTTGGCTAACAAGAGGGGTTCCGGTTGTTAGTTGATCAAACCTCAGGCAAGGTAGACGTAAATTACCCTATATATATATATATATATATACTAGTTATTGTCTATACCTGAAAGTACAGAATAATAAAAAATACTAAATAATAAATATATTTGTATTCATATCCAAAATTAAATCACAAACATAGAGAAGAGATAAATGTATTTAAGCATCGATATGTAGTAGGGGTGAGAGGTGGTGGACGACAGTAGTGGTGGTAGGAGACGGTGATGGTTGTAGTGGGTGACAATGATCGTGGTGGTGGTGATGGTGGCACCGATGGTGGTGGCTGTGGTAGCCATGGTGGTGGTGGTGGTAGTGGTGGTGGCAAAAGTGGTGGAGGCGGTGGCAACAGTGGTGAGGGGTGGTGTTGATGACGACAATGGCGGTGGTGGTGGCGGTGGTGGTGGTGGTAGTGGGGGTGGCGATGGTGGTGGTGGCAGATGTGGTGGTGGTGGTGGAGGCAACGACGGTGGCGATAGCGGTGGTGATGGGTGGTGGTGGCGGTGGCGGTGGCGTTGGTGGCAGTGGTGGTGGTGGTGGCGGTGGCAGTAGTGGTGGTGGGGGTAGTGGTGAGGCAGTTTCAAACATTACCGTTTTTTTTTTAAATATTTATGAAAAATAATTTCTAAAAGTAATTTTGAAAAGTAAATCCAAACACACCCTTAGGCCTTTATTTTTCCTATTAAATTTAGGGTATTAATATTAGTCTTTAGATTATCTTTAAAGTAAAATTTAAAGCGATTTCAACCGCGAATAACAAAAATCATTTTATTTATCTTTTGAGATTTAAATTGTAAACTACTTTATTATATAGATATATTGTTTTACATAACAACATAACTAGGGTTCCTGCAGTTCCTTATCCTCCTCTGCCTCTCTAATTATCATCGACGATTCGACCCTCTCTCCCTCACTCAATTACTCTCTGTTTCTGTAAGTCTCTCATTCTCAAAACCTCTCTCTGCCATCTCTCANGGTGGTGGTGGTGGGGGTGGCGATGGTGGTGGTGGCGGATGTGGTGGTGGTGGTGGAGGCAACGACGGTGGCGATAGCGGTGGTGATGGGTGGTGGTGGCGGTGGCGGTGGCGTTGGTGGTGGTGGTGGTGGTGGTGGCGGTGGCAGTAGTGGTGGTGGGGGTAGTGGTGAGGCAGTTTCAAACATTACCGTTTTTTTTTTAAATATTTATGAAAAATAATTTCTAAAAGTAATTTTGAAAAGTAAATCCAAACACACCCTTAGGCCTTTATTTTTCCTATTAAATTTAGGGTATTAATATTAGTCTTTAGATTATCTTTAAAGTAAAATTTAAAGCGATTTCAACCGCGAATAACAAAAATCATTTTATTTATCTTTTGAGATTTAAATTGTAAACTACTTTATTATATAGATATATTGTTTTACATAACAACATAACTAGGGTTCCTGCAGTTCCTTATCCTCCTCTGCCTCTCTAATTATCATCGACGATTCGACCCTCTCTCCCTCACTCAATTACTCTCTGTTTCTGTAAGTCTCTCATTCTCAAAACCTCTCTCTGCCATCTCTCACTCAGATTTGAGAAGTTATCGCCATCTCTCACTCAGATCTCAAATCTCTCACTGAGAAGTTACTGCCTTATTGGAGGAAATTGAAGACAATATACTATGGTTTTGTTTTGTTTGTTGTATGATGGGTTTGTTTGAAGGTTGTTTTTGCTTTTGTTTATGTGGATTCAATGGTTTTTTTTTTTGTGGTGGATTCAATGTTTTTGGTTGTTTGATTCAATGTTCAGTCTTAGGTAATCCGATTTCAACACAAGTTTGCCTGAAATGAACTCAAATAGGACTCGACTCGAGTTGAGATCAAATTAGAATTAAGGTCAAGGGTGAAGCTAAGATTGAGTTATAGTTGACCACCTAATTGGTTTGAGTTACACCCTTAATATTACCTTTTAATATGGGTAGAGTTTATTATGTTCACCTATCATTTTTTGGGTACAAATTGTTACTTTTAACTAAAACTCGTCAATTTTTTTTGAAAAAAAATTATTATTTTTTAATATAATATCAAAAAAGGAAAAATTGATATGACGTACAAAAAACTTCCCGACACTGTTGTGTTTATATAATAAGTACAGTCCTCAATGGTATTATACTTTCCTTTGCCTTTGGTGCCCAAAAAGGAAAAAACAATAGAAACAGAGGTCAACGGCCTTTGCTTGCTGCCTGATGAACACTTATGTCAAACCACAAAGTTATAACATTTTAGACTGCAACAAGTTTTTTTAACAACCCCTCGTTCTTATTAGACAACAAAAACTATTCTATCTTATTTATAATATAAAATAGAATGAATTTTAATAAGTTTATTTGATAGTATTAAGTAGACTAATCCAACTATCATTAACACTCTTCTCAAAATCATTCTATTATACTGTGTCTTCAGACACAAGTTATTTTTAATTATTATATAAATTGTCGATAGATAGATGACAAGGTTACCCCAAATAATTATATAGATTGTCAATGGATAGATGACGTCTATATAACCAAACCTCTTTTTTAGTTTAAACCAATTTGTCCATGTCTAATTCAAAAGAATTCCGTGTCATATGAGTGGAAATGAGAAATGATCTAGTTGGGTCGAAATGAAATTTAGGTAGCTAGAATTCTTTCGATGTACTTTATTTGGCTTTTCTTAGATTTCCTTCTATGTGCACATCATGAAACTATTCAGTATTGAAAAAACTGAATTATAGAGGAATCCTAATGGAGGTTATGTCAAGTCTTAAAACTTTTTTCTTTTGTTCTTACCTTGATTGGTAATTCATCCACTTATTTATCCCAACTAAAAACCAAAAGAAGACACGGCCCTACTTGACAAATTTTTGTGGGCCTTTTTAGATTGCCCGGCGGGCCATGGAGTAACAGTTGAACGACTCAAACTAGAGCCCGGAGTGATTTGTCCCATAACCCACGGGCCAACCCTAAGTTGTATTGATATTTGATACAGTCGACCTGAAAATCTTAGTTGACATTGGGTTCCCTCCATTACAACCCTTGGGAATATTTTGTTCCATGTTTGGGCGCCAATACAACAACCATTTTACCAAAATGTCCCCACCCAGTTTGGGAGCATCTTTTAAACAATAAAAATTGTCATAAAAGTCAAAACATGTTGGATTAATCTTAAATGTATATAAAAAAAAGGTTAATAATATTTTTGTTCTTTAAAATATGTGATCATGTGTCATTGTTTTTAGACGTGATCATTTTGTCAAAAACTTAACAGTCCGTCTATATAAGGACCAAAATAACACGAATTGAATAATTTAGAAACAAAATTAATACATTGAATAATAAACTAACAAAAAATANAAAACATGTTGGATTAATCTTAAATGTATATAAAAAAAAGGTTAATAATATTTTTGTTCTTTAAAATATGTGATCATGTGTCATTGTTTTTAGACGTGATCATTTTGTCAAAAACTTAACAGTCCGTCTATATAAGGACCAAAATGACACGAATTGAATAATTTAGAAACAAAATTGATACATTGAATAATAAACTAACAAAAAATACATACTTTTAGAACCAAAAGTGATATTGACCCATAAAAAATGATTTAAATGAATCTTAATATCTAAATTATAATCTCATATATATATATATTTGTGTTTTACTATTCATGCAATTAAAAAAATGAAGAAGTGAATAAGCACGAGGTAAAAAAAATGAACGAGAAAATGTAAAAAAGTAAATCTAAAAAAATAATAAAAAATTTGTTAACAATTATACTTATTTCATATTCCATAAAATATAACTTCTTGTAGTTTTATTAGGCTCTTAATGACCCCCATACATTCTACAACTATAATTCTACCATTGCTTTGATTTCTTGTACTTTGAGCATAAAAGTTATTATCATTATTTTTAGATATTGAGGCATTGTCCTAAATGGAAAGATTTGAGTTTAGTCTTATCGAGTTTTATTCGTAACTGGACCAATCCGTTTGATTTTTCCTAGAGTATCTCTAATTGTTAAAAACTTTGGATAAATTAATCTTTAAAAAGTTTTTACAATCTTATACACAAAATCCATACTTCATCAAGAGAAATTTAAATTTTTATTCAAATTAAGGGAGACTTAAACTTTTACTAAAATCATCAATAATTAGATTTCATTATTTTTCTAATGGTCATATTCTTTTATCCTTTAAATTTTATTTTGTCTTCATTTAAATTTAAGTTGTCCTCCTTTAAATTTAAGTTAAGTTTTTCAATTGGAGTACTTTATATTAAATCAAAAATTTTATTTAAATATTTGCTCAAATTTAAATAAAAAATAGAGTTAAGGTTATTGATGCTCTTCTTATTAAAAAAATAAAAAATTAAAAAGAAAAAACATGCGCAAATAGAGTAAATAAGAGTAATATTACATAACTTAAATGAAATTTGAAAAAATGTAAATTAAATGCATATTATTTATTGGATAAGTGGATTCTATTGAAAAATGTGAGACTCACTTATTTAAAGAATAATATACATTTAAGTTGTATTTTTTAAATTTTATTTGTGTTGTGTATAATAAATATTGGGTATGGTGACGCCAATTAATTATAAAATAATAAATAAAATTGATGAACCTCACTACTCTAACAAGACTGACCACATTTGTAAAAGGGTCTGTGTTTCTTGGTACTTGAATAATGGGTTCGAACATGGATCCACATCTGGATCACAAGTGTCAAATATTTGACTTTTAACAAATTGAGTAAGGACGTCGTTAGTGCTACTCTTATATAATAAAAAAAAAAAAAAATGTCTATTTTGCTTTATAGGGATAAGGAGTGTTTGGATTTGTCTATTCTATATTTTGCTAATAAAAAATAACGGTGACACCGTATCACCGTTTCGACCCAACATTTTTTTCACATGTAAGATCGGAAAGTAATAGATCAACTCCGGCGCTCACTTCCCTCCCTGCCCGCTGCCCAAAGCTTGAATTTCACAAAATACGGTCCGTCACCCCAAAGTTTTTCATATTTTATCTACTACCCCAACAAATACACCAAAAATGGGGTTAAGAACGAAAAACAAGAAAAATAAATAGAAAACAAACATTAACAAGCAACAACTTTTTCGTCTCAGGCCAAGCACCACTCTGAAACATCGACACCCTTAGAAAGAGAGAGAGAAGGTGAAATATTTACAGAGATTCGTCTTCAGGCTATTATCTTCGTTCGATCTGTGTGTCTCTTCGAGTCCCTCTCTTCACGCTGTTTGATTGGAAAGCTGCACAGATTCGCTCTTCGATCTCTCAATCCAGACCCTCAATTTCCTCGTAAGTCTTCGTTATTCTGATTCAAAGCCTAGGGTTTTCAATTTCAATTCATCCATAGTATGAAAATTTCAATTATACGAGTTCTTGGTTTGAGAAACGAAGTACTTTTTTTTTTTTTGGTTTGTTTTGAAAACCCTGCATTGGTGGTGAAATTACGGTGTTGACTTTTTTGTGTATTTTTGTGTTTTGTATGGAATTAGGGTTCTTGAGCGGTTGAAAGTGTGGAAGGAATTGCACAGAATGAGCATCGATAGCCCCGGGAAAGGGGAGAGCTAGGATTTTGGGTTGGAAATTAGGGCTGAGATTTGGGCATTCCATGGGCGATGGCGGCGTTGCTTGCGTTCCTTCGCAGCATATCATGGACCAGTTGTCGATTTGCGGAGGCAAAAATGGTACTACAACAACAGCTAAGTTCAATTCTTCTTCCAAGTCTTCGTCGCTCAAGTTCAACGAACGAAAGATGAAGATGAAGGCCAAGAGAGAGGAGTTGACAAGTAAAAGAGAGTTGGGGAAGAGTGAATTGGGTGGGAAGCAGGTTGCCAATGGTCGAATTTGTGCGGAGAAGGTGTTGAAGGAAGAAGTGGAAGAAGGTGAATTGGGTTCTCTGAAGTGGCCAGAGAAAGGGGAGGTTATTCCTACTGAAAAGCCGCGGAAATTTGAGCTAAAGAGTGAAATTGAGAAGGGTGAGATTTCGGGCGACAAATGGAGGAAAGAGGAGGTAGAAAAGGGTGAATTTGTTCCAGGTAAGTGGCGAAAAGGGGAAGCTAGGAAGGGGGAATTCAGTTCTGAGAAGGCTGATTCTGCAGCCCGCAGAGTAGCAAAAGATGAACTTGAGAAAGGAGAGTTTGTTCCAGAAAGATGGCGAAGAAGTGAAGTGGCGAAGGATGAGTATGGTTACTCGAGGATACAACGCCATGATTCTGCTTTTAGAGACAAAGGGTGGAAGTATGAGAATGAACGGACACCATCTTTTGGGAAGTATGAGCATGAGCGGACGCCGCCTTCCGGGAGGTATTCAGGTGAGAAAGACTTCAATAGAAGTGGGAGTCAGCATATCAAAAGGTCTTCCAGGTATGAAACTAGCCAAGACAGGACCCCAAGGATCAGATCAAAGATTGTAGATGAGGAAGGCTCTTTCAAGAATGAACTCAGCAACGGTAAGGATCATGGAAGACAATACTCATCGGGAAACAGGTTAAAGCGCAATGGCACTGATTCAGATAGCTGTGACCGTAAACGCTATGGTGAATTTGGTGATTATGCTGGTTCAAAAAGTCGAAGATTTTCTGATGATAGCCATCGTGGTGGATACTCCGATCACTATTCACGCCGGTCTGTGGAGAAATCATACAAAAATGCTTCTTCACTGCGGAACATGTCCTTTGACAAATATTCTTCCAGGTATCATGAATCTTCTATGTCAACTAAAGTAGTTCAAGACAAGTACAATAGTAGTCCACGTCATTCTGAGCGGTCCCCACGTGACCGGGCCCACTACCATGATCACCGGGATCGGAGTCCAGTACGGCATGACAGATCCCCGAATGATCGCAGCCGTCATTATGATTGTAGAAATCGGAGCCCCAGTTACTCAGAGCAGTCTCCACAAGATCAAGCCAGATATCATGATCATAGGGATTGGACCCCAAATTTTGTGGAGCGGTCCCCACTTGATCGGGAAAGGTCCAATAATTACCGGGAAGCAAGTCGAAGAAGTGGAGGAAATGAGAAGGGGCAGAGTCATTATGGTGGTAAAGGGCAGGAGGAGAAGCACAATCAGAGAGATCCTAAAGGAAGGGAGCCACAATGGCCAACTAAAGAGTCTGTAGATAAAAGCAATCAAGATAATGGTGATGGATCCTTTGAGAAAAATGTGAAGCATCAGTGTTCCAAGGAGGAACAATCTCAAAGTCCGAATGTGAGTTGCCTCGGTCCTATTCAGGTCAATGGAACCACTGAGGAGCTGCCTTCGATGGAAGAAGACATGGATATATGCGATACACCGCCACATACCCCGGTGGTGGCAGATTCAGTTGCAGGGAAGTGGTTCTACCTAGATCATTTTGGCGTGGGACAGGGACCTTCTAGATTGTGTGACCTTAAGACACTGGTTGAAGAAGGTTTTCTTGTGTCTGATCACTTGGTCAAGCACTCTGACTGTGATAGATGGATGACCGTTGAGAATGCGGTTTCTCCGATGTGTACCGTGAATCTCCCGTCCATTGTTTCTGACACCGTTACTCAAATGGTAAGCCCCCCTGAGGCTCCTGGTAATCTGTTGGCAGATGTTGGAGATGTGGCACAATCTGATAATCAGGCTGCTGAGGGAATGATGGCTACTTTGCCGAAGCCAGTGTTCAGCCCTGATGACAGTTTTGCTGGATCAGAGCCTTTAGTAAATCTCCAGATTGATGAGAGGGTTAGAGTGCTTTTAGAGGGTTTTACCATTATTCCTGGCAGGGAACTCGAGACAGTTGGGGGTAAGTACTTTTCTGTTAGTACTTTCCAATACTTCATCTGTTATTTGTTTATTTGTAATTCTGTTTTCCCTTTTTCTCCCAATCTTATGTATTCTGTTCTTCCTTCTGTGAAATTCTATTATCTTGCAGAAGTGCTGCAAATGAAGTTTCAGCAGGGGGAGTGGGAGAGATGGGGAAACTTCGAAGGTAATTTTATCTTTTTTGACAAAATCCGTAATTACTAGTGCCATTTTTTTTTTGGGGTTTTTTCTTGTTTTGATTTGTGTGTGTGTGTGTGTTTTTTTTTTTTTTTTGGG